GCGAGCTCCTCCCGGCGGCGACGGGTGGGGAGGAGAGGGGAGGGGAGGGGAGGGGACCTGATGGGAGGAGAGGGGGAGGGAAAAAGAGGGAGGGGCGGGGAGGGCGGAGACTGGAGAGCCCGCCCGGGATCCACAGTGCATTTAAAGGCGCCAGAGCCCTGCGGAGCGCCACAGCCTCCAGACCTGAGCGGGAGAGGGAGGGAGGGGGGGGCAGGGGGCGGGGACCGGGAGAACCGCCTGCCCCGGTGACCCCTGAACCTGACTTAGGAGAACACCAGGCCGATCCTCATTTAACTCTCCTGCAGGGCCGACCGCAGACCCGGAGTGCGAGGCTCTGCCGCGCCCACCTCTTCAGCGCCCTGCGCGCCGCCGGGGAACACCGACCTGAGGCACACGTGCAACAGCGCCCCGTGAAGGTGTGCAAACACACCCGGCTTCATCCTCGAAGATGCACCGGGAGCACGCGGGCCACCGTGGTGGAGCACGCTTGCACACTCATTTCCCGCAGAACGACCGTCGTTGCTGCTTTACCGTTCAGCTTGGGATCGCAAACTCCTGAGAGGGTAAGGCCTTCAGACAGCTCCACACACAACCTCCTCTCTCCAGAGAGACTTCTGTGGACATCAGTCAGTTGTGCAAAGGGGTTTCTTTGTGCAATGCTTCTCGGCCAGACGCTCCCTCCTAACCACTCTTCCTGTCCACACCAGGCTTGTTTCACACACATATACAAAGATTTTGCCTATATGCGCCCTTCCTCTTCCTCTCTATTTCGTCGCACTAATTCTACAGCACAGGTAATAGACACGTTTATGTGCATGCATACACAATACGTATACACACACATGAAATGCCCACCCGATCCTCTTGTATGTGCTCACGTATATATGCAACACATGGTCACACATGAAACCCACGTGCTCTTGTGTGTTTCTGGTCTAGCATCCACATAGGAGGGAACATGTATCCTTTGTCCTGAGACTGGCTTACATCACTTAACATGATGGTTTCCAAATCCACCTATTTTCCTTCAACTGACATAATTTCCTTTTTCTTTATTGCTGAGCAATGTTCCATTGTGTATATATACCCCATTTTCTTGATCCATTCAACAGCCGTGGGACACCAGGGCTGTTTCCATAGTTCAGCTGTTGTGAATAGTGTGCACTAAGTATGAGTGTTTGTGTAGCTCTGTTATACCCTGACTTAGGATCCTTTGGATAAACACCCAAGAGTGGTATCACTGGGTTAGTTAGGCAGTAGTTCTGGTCTTAGTTTTTGAGGAACCTCCATACAGATTTCCATATTTTCCTAACTCCCCCCGCCCCCGCCCCCATCCTCACCAGCATTCATTGTGCAGGAAAAGCTGAACAGCTTAAACAGCAAGAGAATAATCAATAAATGGTCAAGTAAACTGAACAGATTGGTTTCACAAGTACAAATGGCTTATAGCTACATGAAGAAAGAAATAAATGTTCATCAGCCGAACCCACAAGGGAGATGCAAATCAAAACCACATTAAGACTCAATCATGCCTCTGGTCAGAAAAGCAGTCATCAAGAAAACAACAAAGGCAGGCAAGGATGCAAGGCAAAAGGAGCCTTCACACACCATCCGTGGGGATGTGAAGCAGTGTAACCAGGAAGGAAATCAATATACGGTTTCCTGACAAACCATGTTTACATCTTCCTCAGGACCTTGCCATGCCATTATTGGGCACGGGTCAAAAAAGAAAAAGAAAAAGCTTATCCTCTTGTGGTGGAAGCCACAGAACCCCACCATACTTGTTCCATGGTGAACCACACCACCTGCTGAAAGTCTCTATGCTGGAGACTGCCCACCCATAAGAATTCTGACAAGCACAGATATTCAAACCATCACACCCTATAGCAGCTTTTAAATTTTTATGTATTTATTTTGTGCCAGTCCTAAGCCTCTAGCTCAGGGCCTGGGTGGGCACTGTCCCTGAACTTTTCTGCTCAACACTAGTGTTCTACCACTTGAGCCACAGTGCCACTTCTTGGCTTTGTGATGATTCACTGGAGATAAGAGTCTCACTGGGGGGAGGGGGGAAGGAATGGTGGGGGGAAACAAAAGAGGAGAAAACAATGCTTGATAAGAAATATATTCATTACCTTGCTCATGTAATTGTAACCCCTCTGTATGGTATTTTAACAATTAAAAAAACCAGAAAAGAAGAAAAAAAAAAGTCTTGCTGACTTTCCTGCCCTGGCTGGCTTTGAACCACAGTCCTCAGATCTCAGCCTCCTGAGTAGCTAGGATTACAGGCATGAGCCACCAGTAGCACCTTATTTTATTAACACCTGTGTTCTTTTTAAAAATAGAATATAATTTAAAATTAAAATATATAATTTTTATAATTAAAGTATATATTATGAAAATATATTTGTAATTAAAATTACATTTAACTACCATTTACAAGTGGAAATTTAGACTTGTAAATTTTCACAAATATATCCACTTAATGTTATTTTACATAGAGATATGAAATATAAAATAATATAAAATTATAAAATATAATAAAATACAATTTTAATAAAAAACATTGTATTTATTTGCTTTTACTATCTGGGCAAGTTACAGCATCTTAACTTTTTTTTTTTTGTTAGTTGTGGGACTCTAACTCAGGGTATTGTCTCTGAGCTCTTTTGCTCAAGGCTACACTTTCAGCTACAGCTCCACTTTTTGTTGTTGAGTGGTTAATTAGAGATGAGACTTTCATGGGGACTTTTCTGCCTGGGGTGACTTTGATCCGTAATCTTCAGATCTCAGCTTCCTGAATAGCTAAAGTTACAACTAAAAACTGGTATATCTGAATATGGACAATATAAACAATATGTTGTAGTAAAGATATTTATCTATTTATTTATTATATCATAGTATTTGCAGGTGGCTTCAAGATTCAGCACCCAAGCCAAGAATGGTGCTATAATTTCAGCATTAAGAAGGTGATAGGAAGAAGGTCACGAATTTGAGGATAGTTTGGGCTACATAGTATAACTCTGTCCCAAATAAACAAAAAGAGATTAATAGCCTACAATAACATGAAATGAAATAATCCTCCAATCCTAACTGTGTGAAACATGGTGTAGTGATAGAGCCCTTATTTGTAAAATGGCCTGCAATAACATAATACCTGTTTAAGAATTGAACAAAACCAGGCACCAGTGGCTCATGCCTGTAATTCCACCTACTCAGGAAGATGAGATCTGTAGATTGTGGCTCCAAGCCAGCCTAGGCAGGAAAGTCCAAGAGACTTTTATCTCCAGGAAACTGCTCAGAAAAAGCCAGAAGTAGTGCTGTAACTCAAGTGGTAGAGGGCTAGCCTTGAGCACAAAGAGGTTCAGGGATATAGTAGTGCCTCAGGCCCCAAGACTGGCAAAAAAAAAAAAAAAAGAATTGAACTAAGCTACATAAATGCGAACTTGGGCCCAGGTGGGCCACCAGCGGGATGGAAGCCACTTTGGAGCAGCATCTGGAGGACACAATGAAGAATCCATCCATTGTTGGAGTCTTGTGCACAGATTCACAAGGACTTAATCTGGGCTGCCGGGGTACTCTGTCAGATGAACATGCTGGAGTGATATCTGTTCTTGCTCAGCAAGCAGCTAAGCTAACCTCTGACCCCACTGATATTCCTGTGGTATGTCTAGAATCAGATAATGGGAACATTATGATCCAGAAACATGATGGCATAACAGTGGCAGTGCACAAAATGGCCTCTTGACATCTCATGTCAGTTTTATAGAAGCCTGTCATAGGGATTCAGCCTACCAGTACTAATTAAAAATTGTAAAACTATTAAATTATACTTGTAAAACTACTGATGTTCCAGTGGTTAGATCATTCACTTATATACATTTATGTATTTATGTAAGTTGTTTTTAAACTAACCTCTCAATATGTAAGAATTTTTCATGTTCAAGGCCAGTGCTCTACCACTTGAGCCACAGCTCACTTCTGGCTTCTTGGGGGCAGTTAATTGGAAATAAGAATCTCATGGACTTTCCTGTCCAAACTGTCTTCAGACTATAATCCTCAGATCTTGGCCTCTTAAATAGCTAGGAGTAAGTATATGCATGAGCCACAGGCACCAGGCTAAGAAAGGATCACGTTTTGAAGCATGTTTGTGTCCAAAGAAAATATGGATGTACTGAGGAACAAGGGGTTTACAGCAGGGAGAAATGGATAAGACAGGACAAACCAAAATGAGTATTGATGTAATAGCAAGTGATTTAGTTTGGTTAGGCAAGAGGTGAACAATTAGTTCCAGGTCAGTTTGTCTATAGAATTTTCTATATACAATAAATAAATCTGTTTGGAGGAAAAAAAAAAAGTAATTGATGAGAGGAATACAGCAGAGCCGTGTGCTCCGTGTGCCACACTGTGCTCCACTTAGAACACAGAGAGGGAGAGAGCCTGGTGTGGAGGCAGTCTGAGGAGGTGGTAGAGAACATGGAGGGATGGGAGGGGTCTATAACACTGAGAATGGTGCACTTTCCATTCCTATTGCAAATTTAGGTATTATAATTTAAAAAATGGGAGGGATAGTAGTGATATGATTTCACAGAACCATGAGCACCCAGGCTATTTCCATTTTTACTTGTCTCCTGAGCAGGTAGCCATCATTCCCAAATCCACCCAGTTCTTTAGCGCTTCTCGAGACAGGATGGTCATGATGTGGGACCTGCATGGCACCTCACAGCCAACGCAGCAACTAAGTGGCCATGCCATGGTGGTCACCGGATTGGCTGTGAGCCCAGGTAAACAAACCATCTGTCTTCCTACTACTCCAGTACACCCCGAGCTCCCCAGCTAGTACCCTCTCATGGGCCCTCTTCTCACCTTTGCTTCCAAAGACTCATCACAGCTGTGTACTGGCTCACGAGACAACACCTTGCTGCTGTGGGATGTGGGGACCGGACAGTGTGTGGAGAGGGCATCTGTTTCCAGGAACCTGGTATGTGTTCAGGCCCTGGCTTCTGTGGTTAGCAGCGTGGGGTGGGGGTCCTGGCCTGGGAAATAGGTCAAGGGATGTTCAGTCAGGCATCAGACTCAAGTCCCAGTTTTAGTCCCGTGAACTTCCTGTGAGGCCCTGGCCTCTCAGTATTGTTGGCTTAGATGGGCTCTTGAGTCTTCTGCTCTAGAGAATGATCTCATTGGATGATACTGGAATCTGAAATGCTATGCATTCATTCTGTTTTGTTTGTTTGTTTGTTTAAACTCAGGGCCTGGGCACTGTCCCTTAGCTTTTACTCAAGGCTTGTGCTCTGTCACTTGAGCCACAGTCTACTTCTGGCTTTGGTGATTAATTGGAGATAAGAGTCTCACAGATTTTCCTGCCTGAGCTGGCTTTGAACATTGATCCTCAGATCCTCAGCCTTCTAAGTAGCTAGGATTACAGGCATGAGCCACTGGTGGCCCATTCTTTATTCATTCTTGAAATAGAAGTATTCCATTCTTCCTGTGGAATCCTTTCTAGGGGCTAGCTAGCTAGGGATGTCGTACTAGGAACCAAGATTAGTGATGAAGGACAGCTCCTTGTCCTTCAGGAGCTGCCAGATGACATGTACAGGGTAGCATAGAAGGTGGCCCCTCTCCATGGAACATCATGTGGAAATGAGCATTACTTTTGCTAGGTGTATAAGTGGCTCTGGTTTTGAAGGCCAGTTTTCTGGCAACAGACTAGTATAAATTGCACAGCCAGACCAGTCAGAGCTGACATCAAATCATGTGTTTGTATCGTTTTTTCGTTTGTTTCTTTTGTGGTGCTGGGGACAAGAGTCAGAGCCTGGCACATAGTAGGCAAGCACTGAACATCTGATCTCACCACCAGCCCTAGTTTCAGACAGAATCTGTCACTAGCCACTCGCCACTTCCTGGGGTCACACACCAAAAGGCCAACCTTGAAGGCTCACATGCCTTTAAGAGCATAGAGCTGGCCCAGCTGCTACTACTGCTGCTGCTAACTAGCAAGACACCAGGAAGTTAAATTTACTGGTTTAGAATCTGTGAGGAAGGGGGAAGAGATGATGCTTAGTGCCGTTCACCAGATGACGCAGAGGACAACTTGGTGTGGAGAGGTGCTGAAGGTCTGCTTTTTCCAGGTCACCCATTTGTGCTGGGTCCCCAGCGAGCCCTACATACTTCAGAGCTCCGAAGACAAAACCCTCAGGTGGGCTACTGAGCAGCAGTAGAGATGTTTCTGGTGAAGGTTTGTGGCTCCCATGCTCTCATGACTGCATGCACTCTGCTTCTCCTCGTGCCATGGACTTTCCAGAGCCTCCCACCCCCTAACCCTCACTAGTGCTTGGCCTCTGGTTTAGCCCCATGGTCTTCTGGGTCCATACTAGATGCCAGGAAAGAAGGTCAGAAAAAGGCCCACGTTCTGGATTGTTTTGAGATATCTCCCATCGTGTGATGTGTCCACATTGATCTCAGGATCGATCAGTTATCTGCACATCTCTCCTCTAAGGCTGCCTGACTACCTTTATTATGCCTGCATGGCTCCTGCATTTCTCAGCCATCCAGCCTCAGCCTCCGTCCTCAAGAATCAGGGTTCATATCCACAACAGGGGGTCAGTAATTCTTAGTGTGGAGAGTATAACTAAAAATCAGCATTTGGAACAGCTTCTATAAAAGTGTAAGAATGAGACAAGAGGCACATCCCTCTTCTGTGGGCTCCATGGTCAAAGCAGGCCAAGGCCCATATCTGATTTTGGACTGATGATGCTATCTTACAATAAGTATATTTTTACACGTTCAATCACACAAAGAGCCTCTTGGACACTGAAGGCAACATCCCAAAGGACCACATTAACTTGTAAAATCAAACCGATGGTCCAAATTTCTATGAAGTGATCTCAAAGTTGAAAGAACTCAGATGTCATTCATTTGTTATTTACTGTCAGCCTTGGAGTTGTAGTGTTCAATCTGGTTTGTGCTGCTGTGTTCAGGTAGATCCAGACATTCCATTCTGACTTTCATGTTAGCAGGATATTACTGGTGAGTCTCAGTCAGGCTTACTAAAAAAACATTTCCTGCCCTCATTTATTTCAGATTGTGGGACAGTCGGGGCCTGCAGGTAGCTCATATGTTTCCCACAAAGCAGCACATTCAGACCCACTGTGAAGTCAGCATGGATGGATACAAATGCATCTCCTGCAGCAACGGCTTTGGGGGTGAAGGCTGTGAAGCCACAGTAAGACATCATATGGGGTCACTGGGCCAATGAACAGGTGATATGCTAGTCAGAGATAGAGAGTTTGCATAGCTGCCTGAGTAGGCAGCTGGAGGAACAGGTGGGCTGTGGGAGGATGGATGTTGCTGGATAAAGCAGGTATGAAATAGAGGAGCATGTGTGCATGAACTGCTTAACGTCATTACTTTTGCATGAGCTGGTCAATGTCATTTCTTTGCAGCTGTGGGACTTGAGGCAGACAAGAAACAGAATATGCGAGTATAAAGGGCATTTCCAGACAGTTGCATCCTGCGTCTTTCTACCAAGAAAATCGACTCTGATGCCCGTAGTTGCTACCTCATCCCATGACTCCAAGGTGAAGATTTGGAACCAAGATACCGGAGGTAAGGAGTCTGCTGTCATTGCTTCTCAAAAGACAGGAAGTAGCTGGGTGCTCATGCCTACAATTCTAGCTACTCCAGAGGCTGAGATCTGAGGATTGTGGTTCAAAGCCAGCCAGGGCACAAAAGACTCTTATCTCTAATAAACTCAGAAAAAGCAGGAAGTGATGCTGTGATCAAGTGGTAGATTGTGAGCCTTGAGCAAAAGAAGCTCAGGGACAGTGCCCAGTCCCTGAATTCAACCCCAGAACCATCATTCCCCCCCCCAAAATAGAAAAGGGTACAAGAATTGTCACTTTCTTTTTTGGTGGTATTGGGGTTTGAACTTAGGGCTTTGCACCTGCTAGACAGGCTCTCTACCACTTGAGCTCTTTTTGAATTCTACCCCCAGCTTCTTTTGCTTTTCAGGTAGGGTTTTTGTTTTTTTGTTTTTGTTTTTGTCTAGGGCTGAACTGTAGTCCTCCTGTTTAAGCTTCTCATGGGCATACAATTGCATCTAGCTTATTGATTGAGATTGAGTCTCACTAACTTTTTGCCTGGGTTGCCCTTGGACTTCTATACTCTTGATCTCCACATTTTGAAATGGCCCCAGTTATGCAAGAACATACTTCTTGGTGGCAAAGATCCTGTTTAGCTTGATGCCATTCTCTACAAGTTAGATTTCCCCATTGTGTGGAAGCAGTGGGGCTCTCTCCTGGCTGAGATAGCCATAGCACATGCTCTGTTCCTGCAGTGCTCATGAGGACATCATGTCTCATGTATAGATTTCAGCCACTGCCAGGCCACATGTACAATGATCAGGGGTATAGTGGCCTGTCCTGTCTAGGCATGTGTATGTGTATGCTATGATGTTGTCCATTGATACAGTTCCCTGATGATGCTGTTCCTTTGGGAATGGTTGAACATTACATGACTGGATGGTGCTCTTGGCCTAACCTGCTGGTGTCCCTTATTCCCTCAGCATGCCTTTTCACCTTGTCTCTGGATGGATCGGGACCTCTGACCTCCATGGCTGTTGGTGATACCAGCTTCTTGTTGTGTGCAAGCTTCCACCGAGGAATTCACTTACTCAAAATGAGCCATGGCCAGGCACTGGAACTGCAGGATGTGGCAGCATTCTAAAGCCAAGAGACACTCACTGGACAATAGCAAACTGTGGCCCTCTTTCCTCTGTGTGGCTTTTGTTTCCCACATTATCTCAGGGGAGTGGAATGAAGGGCTTGGGCTCTTTCTTAGGTCACTGAGAAGGTAGATCAGTGGGCTGGGAATGTGGCTTAGTGGTAGAGTGCTTGCCTAGCATGCATGAAGCCCTGGGTTCAATTCCTTAGTACTGTGTAAACAGAAAAAGCCAGAAGTGGTGCTGTGGCTCAAGTGGTAGGGTGCTAGCCTTGAGCAAAAGAAGCTCAGGGACAGTGCCTAGGCCCTAAGTTAAAGTTCCAGAACTGGCAAAAAAAAAAAAAAAAGAAAGAAAGAAAAAAAAAAGAAGGTGGATCCCTATTCAGTCAATTTAAGTCCCATGGTTCAAAATCAGATTTAGAAAAAGGGATGAAAATAATTTCTCTGAGTTAAATCCAGTGAGCTTTTGGGACTCGTCTTCAACTGAGTATCCCATTATGATGAGCTGGAAGTATGGCTGTGGTAGGCCTCTGTCTGTGAGAATAAAATATGAGTTGTCAGTGAGCTGGCCTCTCCCTGGCTCCACCAAAGGGAAAGCCAGCAGGGACAGAAAGTATGCTTCCAATGCCTGAGAAGTGATGGAGATAAAACAGGCCGTGCTGCTCCAGAGAGAAAGTACACATGGACACAGACGCAGGAGCTCCAGCCATTGCTGCTCAGCTACATTAGGGAGGGAGGGAGAAGGGAAAACCCCGCCTGTCCCCCCACTCCCTGGGTGCATGCAAAGGAGCCCTGAGCTCCACGGCCAGCTCTGGGACACTGCCCAGAGCCCTAACTTGTCACACCTGTTCCATGAATAAGAGACCAGAGACCCAGAGGTTCACAAATGAGGCTGAGAAAACTTTCAATTTGAATATTTTTATGTGGTTTTACATCAAATATATGTATAGGTATGTGTATAAATATACACACAAATATATAAATTCTTGGGAGTGGCCAGCCTGAGGCAAAGGCGGCATCTCTGCAATGCAGGACATAGAGGAGAATTTGGAGGATCAAGTGCCCTTCAGTGAGGAGGCCAGGGTGCTTAGGTCTCAGAACCCCGTTTCTTTTTCCCTTTCTCTTGTTCTCTCTCTCTCTCTCTCTCTCTCTCTCTCTCTCTCTCTCTCTCTCCTCCCTCCCCCGCCTTCTTTTTTTTCATGGGGCCTGAACTCTGGGCCTGGACACTACACTGTCCCTTAGCTCTTCAGCTCAAGGCCAGTGCTCTACCACTTGAGCCACAGTGCCACTTCTGGCTTTTTCTGCTTATGTGATGTTGAGGAATCGAACCCAGGGCCTCATGCATGCAAGGCAAGCACACTACAATGGAGCCACCTTCCCAGCCCCTGTCCTCTCTCTTCTCTCTCTTCTCATTACCCCCCCTTCCTCCCCGCCTCTACCAGGGTTAACTCAGGGCCTTAAATTCTCACTAGGATTTTTCTGCTCAAAGCCCATTTTCTTCTAGGGAAAATGGAGTTGTTCCTGCATTCAGATGAGACCACAATAAAGGCAAGAGTCCTGTGCTCTTCCCTTCTTGATGAATACCAGCCAAAGAGTTTGCCTTTGTCTTTTCTGGCCATTCCTGTCCCTGATAGCAGTGGCTGACAGCCGTGGCCCTGGCCCTTCACCCCTCCCCAGGCTGCCTCCCATACTGGGAATAAAATCTGTGTTTAAGCTAGTGCTGTGTCTGGCCCGAGTTCGAAGCTCCACAGTTCTATGTAGCTGAGTGACTTGGGAAAATTATGCAATATTATTTCCTCAGTGTAGCTCACTGCCTGTGGCCTGCTTTGAGGACCAGACAGACTGAATCAAATATTGGGCAAGCAAGTAGGTGCTGACGTGAATGAGTGGGTGCTGACAGGTGTCACCGGTGGCTGTCATTTATTTTCTCTTGTCCAGACTCGATGCTCTTTTCCACAATAAATGTATATAATCCTTTTTCCATTCCTCTTACATCCTCTGTCCCAACCTGCTGGTAATTTGATTCTGTAAGTTATGATATCCATGAGATGGGAGAGAAAGTTATTTCCTTGAACACCTGCAGAGAGCCAAACATGATTCTCCTGACAATCTCCAGTTATTTCATAGACAAGGTAATTGAGGCCCAGAGCCCTACACTCTTCCTTATCACCCACGTAGAAAGAGAGGAGGTAAAGCGGGAGAGGAAGAGCTGAGATTTAAATCTCATTCAGATCTGGAACGTTTCCTCTACCCCTTTGTGCCTGATGTCACACAGCGTTTCTATTTGTCTTAGCATTCCATACACCATGACATTGTTTTTGGATCTTGGAGACTAATTCCTTTTTTCTTTTTGTTTTCTATTTTGGTGTCAATACTGAGGCTTGAACTCAGGACCTCGCACTCACACTTGGCTTTTTTTTTCCCTCAAGACTGGCACTCTACCATTTGAGCTCCACTTTCAGCTTTTTAGTGGCTAATTGGAAATAAGAGCCTCATGAACTGTCCTGCCTGGCTAGCTTCGACCCACATGATCCTCAAATCTCAGCCTCTGAGAAACTAAGCTTACAAGTGTGAGCCTGTAATCTTCCCTAGTCTTTGCCTCATCCACAGCATCTGCCACTGCACTCAACGGAAGCTGCTCTTTAATAACTATCTCCAAGGTGAACAAGTGGCACACTACTTGGGAGACAGGTAGATTATGAGTTAAAGGCCTGTCCAGGCAAAGTTACAGAGCCCTATCTCAAAATCACTCTTACCTAAAAAAACAAGACAAAGGGGGATGGGTATTGGGGTCTGGCTCAAGAGCACTTGCCTGTGTAAAGCACTAGGTTCCATCTCCCTGCATTAAAGCAACATAGTCTTCAAAAGAACACTCATTGCAGCTGAGCATGGTGGCATAAATTTGTAATCCCAACACTTGGGGGACTGAGACAAGAGGTTCCCAAGTTCCAGGTCAGCCTGATCTACAAGACCTCATTTCAAAAAAAATACTAGGCTAGCAGTGACACTGGTAATCCTAGCTATTGAGGTTGCAGAGATCAGAGGAACCCAGATCAAGACCAGCCTAGGCAAAATGTTCGAGACTCCATGGATAAATATAAAGCTAGGCAGTTGGCACCTGCATATCATCTCAGCTATGTGAGAAATAAAAATAGGATCTGGGTCCATGCTGGCTTGGACATAAATAAAAAACCCTTTAAAAAAGTAATAAATGTGAAAAGGACTGGAGATGTCCTAGAGTAGTAGAGTACCTGCCCAACAAGTACAAGGCCCTGATTTCAAATCGCAGATATTTTTGTGGTGGTGGTGGTAGTGTGTGTGTGTGTGAAAGATAGGATGGTATCCAAACTTGGCCTCAAATTTTCAATCCTCCTGCTTCAGCCTCCTGAGTATAGATAGGAATTATAGGCATGTGCCACCACAGCTGGGCATGCAGATTTTTGAAACGAAGCTGTATGACATGTTATCTACTACTCTCTACAACTGCAAAGCACAGGTAACAAAACAGTTCTATACAGCATTGTCACATTGTTGCTAAAAATGCATCCATCCAGTCAGGCACTGGTGGCTCACACCTGTAATCATATGTACCCAGGAGGCTAAGATCTGAGGATTGTGGTTTGAAACCAGCCCAGGCTAAAAAGACCATGAGATTCTTAGCTCCATTAACCACCAGAAGGCCAGAGGTAGAGAATGTGGCTCGACTGGTAGAGTGCCAGCCTTGAGCAAAATAGCTAAGGGACAGTGCCTAGGTCCTAGTTCAAGTCCTAGTACACACACACACACACACACACCATCAATTCATGGATTTATGCATTTAGAAATAAGAAAGTCCTCAAAAATATTGAGGAAGCTAGATAGGAGGTTCAGTTGAGCACAGGAGTTCAAGGCAACATAAATTGTTTCTAAAGAAAAGAAAATTTAAGCTGGTCATATGGTTCATGCCTGTAATCCTAGTTATTCAGGAGGCTGCAATCAGGACAATCTCAGTTCTAGGCAAGACTGGGTAGAATTCATGAGACCTCATCTAAGTAGAAAATCTGGGTGTGGTGGCATGTACCTGTTAACCCAACTACAAAAGTAAGTGCAAATAGGAAGACCATGGTCTAGGCTGGCCCAGTCAAAAAGTGAGACCTTAAAACTAACCACAGCAAAAAGGACTGGAGACACGTGACAGAGCACCTGCCTAGCAAGTGCAAAGCCCTGAGTTCAAACCCTAGTACCGCACACACAGAGACAAAAATAATCAGGTTATTACTCAAGTTCCACCTTCTACAAGCTTCCGGGGCATGGAAAAATGCAATGAAGTTCCTTGTGAGTGTTTAGTAAGTATGACTTTATGGATGGGAAGCATGTGGTTGGCTTTATGTTTGAAAGGAGATCTAGATCTTATGGCTCCTGCAAATCTGAGGTTAATAAGGGCTGGAAAGGAGACTACATCAGGGTTTCTAACTTTATTCAAATAATATAACTTTAAGGAAAGTCAAATAACAAAAATAAACCTAGATCCACAATTTTCAAATTCCCACTCTGAAAAATTTGTATTCAATTTGGTGCCAAAACTTAACCTGATCTTTGGGACCTTTATTCTTTTTGATGTCAACATTTATAATAAACTTCAGAATATTGTCTGGGGGAATCCACTGGGGGAAGTTACTTTATATAAGGTAAGGGCATATGAACATTCTAGAATAGGAAAACATCTGAAGCACTTTGGCCATCCAGACTTTGCATAGGAGTTTGTGTTTTACAATGCAAATTCTCATGATGCATATGGCCAGGCAGGGCTACCCATTCTCATGCTGGGAGTCCCCTGAACCCCTCCAGGGTAAGGAATACAGGGCAGGAACACCTGTAAAATACCTACCTGTATAAGTAGTTTCTTGAGAAATGCCTATGGACCTAGAGATGAACCTAATCAGTGTGAGTCACAGAGAATAGATTATAGATCTTTCTCTTAAATCAGTGCTCCTCATACCTCAGTGTGTCTGCCATTACCCAGGGACACTGTAAAATACAAATTCTGCTGTAGTGGGTCTGAGATGGATAATTATTTCCAGGTAATGCCAATGCCCTGGGCTGTGGTAGTGGAGGGTAGTCCCTGCCCTTGGCTAGGACCCGCTAACCAGAACTGCCTCCTTCATTCATGTGTTTCCTCCCCAGCCTCCACTGCCCATCCCCCTGCCCGCTTCTGCCTCTTT